TCTGCTGCCTCTTTTTCATATATGTCGAGGCCATTCCTCTCAAATATCACGAAACTCACGTTGGAAGGCCGAACCAACATCAGAGGTAACTCTTTTTAGGGGGTGGGAGAGAGAGAAAGTGTGTGTGTGTGTGTGTGTGTGTTCCCTCCACACTGCAGTCCCACCCCAAAGAACAATGAACCATGATGCATATTTGTATGTATGAATATAGGTGTATCCTAGTCTCCTTTGAATCCGATGTCATTATTTTCACCTTTTTGGAAATTCTTTTGGTTGCTTAAAAATTAAGACATTCAATTTCAATACATAAAAGAATTGGATCTTAAGAGATTCTCATGCGAAGGGTGCCAGCTAGGATTATTTTGCTTTGGTCAAGAGTCTGTGTACCTACTACCCACCATTAATTGAACTTTAACTAGGTAGATGTGGCTTGCTGCATATTTTTAGGTTGGAAATCATCTGTTGCAGAACTGTTGATGCAAGGGAAGAAGTCTATTTGCTGTTTTCTTTCATCTATGCACTTCAATGTGTAGCATGTGCTCCACAAGTGTAAATCAACAAAATGAAAGAGAAAAATGCATAGACAATATAACAAGGATGCGTCTTGTAAGTTCTTTCAGAATATCAAACATAGCAGATTGCATTGCTAAAAAGCTCGTTTTCAAATAGCAAAGATAACTAATGCTACTATGGCAATTGTAGCTGTGGAAAAAAGAAGCAAGTGGTGTTATGGAAATATGTTAATATACGAAAGGTCATACAGAATTTTAACATGGTAAAGATTGGGCCTTCTTTGATTATATAAGCTAAAACAATAGTTAAAAAATGTTTTGAGGCTGCACCTGGAGTCCTGCCTAACATGAGGCTCTCATTAAAAGCATCAAAGCTCATGCCTTGACTTAGTGAGGCTTACGCCTTAAGAAAAGCTTCATGGCAACTTCATAGTTGAAAACCTTTCAGATGGCAGAATCAAAGCCAATCTTACAAGCATACCAATGGACATATGATCCCTTTATTGCTAACTTCCAAGCTAATTCCACTAATTCCTTTCGTTTCGAAAAACTCCTCATCCAACAAAAGCAAATTTAGTTCTCAAATTGATTTTCAAGTGCTAAGAGATCACTATAGAACAGGCTGACGGATAAAATTGAACCAAACAAAATTGTTTGTCGAAAGAGTAAAATAAATTGTTTGGACTTGAGTCAGCTACAAAAATAAGTAACTCCATATTCACCATTGTAAAATGATTATCAAGTTCTTGAAGTTGCATCTCGACAATCTGTTGAATGTTTCTACAGGATAACGGTTTGAATTTTTGGTTTGTGCTATATATCGTGCCTATGGCTTTAAAGATATGATCCATGTTGGGAATAGGATGCTCTATTTCTTCTTATTCTCTGCAATCTTTATTGGCATATGTTAAGTAATAGCATTTATGTATCTTGATCTTTTGCTAGCAAGAGCTATTACAACTCATTATTACACCTTATTTTTATCAGTATATGGGGGCTTCTATGTGTTTCTTTTAATTGGCCAGCCTTGTAAAATTGAACTATTTTTTGTTGGTTCACCAGATTCTGATCTCCATGACATCTCAGAGTTCTGTGCTTCCTTGTGCTACCTTAACCTTAACGGGTGTACTTCATTGACGGACAATGGTTTATCGGTAATAATTCTGAAATGTAAAAAACTACACTCAGTTTTGGCGTGTGATACTTCTTTTGGGAATAATTCAATTCTGGCACTTTGCTATGGGATTTCTGTTGCGGAATCCAAAAGAGGAAACTACTCTCACACGACGGCTTCGAAGTGTCAAACCCTGCATATTGGTGGCTGCAATGGTGAGCAACACTTCCTTTGTCCACTCTCACCCTCTTTTATTTTCAGTATTCCAGGAAAGTAAAGAGAGATTCAATTTTCAGAAGTTTTTTATGTCAGTATGTGTCAGAAGTTTTTCTGATGGAAATTGTTTTACGACTCAAGATTGCTTCTTCTTCTTCCTCTATTTTTTTTTTTTTTTTATAATTCATTTATAAAGTCTTTCATAATATCAGAGTGAGCATGATTTTATATTTGGTTCACTTGAGTACTTTTGAGACTTTTTCCTCATTTGAGTATAATCTCAATTGATGTGTCTGCCAGTATCTTTGATGGTATGCACAATCAAATATGTATACCTAACAGCTGGAATACATTATAGTACACACGCATCAAATATGTTTAACTTAATCTTGTGAATGTCATATATACAATTTATTCTCAACACTATTCACTTCTTTGGCAGGGATAAATGAAACAGCTTTGTCAGAGCTTCTTTCTGGAGCAAATAATTTGAGGAGTCTGTGTTTGCGGGAGATTCAACTTGATGACAATGCTCTTTATTGTTTTTCAGGATCCTCCTTGGAGATGCTTGATATTTCTGATTCAAAGGTGCAGAGGCAGTCTAAAGGGAAATTTTGTTTGTTTCTAGAAAGGATTCCTCTAAAACCATTCACTTTTTATCATGGAATTCATATAAATCACTTTACCTAAGATCTCTTATGAATGGGGCAACTGGAAACATGAACTGAAGATTGCACATAGAGTTTGAACTTCTGTTTTCACAACCTGCTTTCACCCGTCAAACCTAAATCTGAATATCTGAAAATCTTTAAAGCTTTTTGGGCTAGGCTAACTGAAAAAATGGGCTGCTAGATCTTGTTTTTTGGAAGTTGACAGTTAACCTTTCAAAAGATATGTATATTTGTCAGATACATAATTTTTCTGCATGAGTTGTAAGAACTTCACGGTGGTTCATTAGTTTCATATCAATACCCATCTGGAATTGCATGCATCTGTCAATTTCTTGATGCCATCTCTTTTAAGAGAGTACCCGTGTGTAAATTGAGTCCTGAACTCGAGACTCGAAGCTTCGTGGGTTAAACTATTTTTATTTCCCACTTGCACGGTCTTGCAAGGATAATGTTACGAAGGTTGTGCACTTGGCTTAATCCCCATGTTCAAGAATTAGTTATTAGCAATGCATGACAGACCTCTATTATACTTCGATTGGGATGTGATAGCACCACGGATGCATATGCTTGGTGGTGTCTTGCTCTATTTCTTCATCAAGCTTAAAAGAAAGAGAATATTTGTCTTTACTGTTTACTTTTGTCTTGTTAGAACCAATCTTGAGTTGTACTGAATAAATAAAATGTATCAAGCTAACCCATAAATAATGTACTTGTGATATTTCAGGTTTCTGCTGCTGCTTTGGCTCATGTTATTCATAGAAATCCCGATCTAAAATGTTTGAAAGCAAGAGGCTGTAGGCATTTGCTAGTAAAGGAAAGTAAGACGGAAGAGAGAAACTTTCCTGCTTTATTGCGTAGTCCAAAAGAGTGGTACTCTGAGCTTGGCAAGTCCTGCAAATTGGACGAGATTCAACTTGGATGGGGTTTTTCATCTCTTTATATGGAGGCACTTAAACCGGCATTTAGAACATTAAGAACGATAGTTGTTGGTTTAGGTGGATCCTTGGGCCAAGATGGGCTGAAGCAGTTATCCGATATCTGTCCTTTGCTTGAGACCTTGGTTCTATATTTTCAGGTAATGATTATTTAGGAGATATAATTAATGTCATCCATAGCAAATTATCCGATGATAATAATTGATGAGTGTTGATTGCAAGCTTTGCATAAAAATGTTCAAGATTTAGGTTGTATATTTTTTCTCTTGACCAGCAAGAGTGAAACAACAGTGGAACTAAAACGGTATAAGAATAGAAATATTATACTCATAGGAACTAGGTCTTCGCATTTTCTAGTTTGCTCATTGGTACTCTCTCTCTCTCATAATTCCTTTATCTCCCAGCAGCAAAAGGCAACTATCATTGAACATCACTTATCAGTTAAAACCTCTCATGTGAACCATATGTTTCTGATGAAGTTGGAAGCTTTGGTGATTTTCTGATCACTTAGAGTACAATTTATGGAGCTTTTTCAGTGATCGTTTTTAGTTATATTATATACTAACTGATGCTTGAAGCCATGCACTAATACATTGTCTGATGTTAACAGGTGATAAATGATTCTGCTATAATGCATGTTATGAAAACCTTGTTGCAGTTGCAAGTCTTGGCTCTATCCTATTGCATTGGTGAGATTTCATCATTAAGCTTTAAGTTCATGATGCCGAATTTGAAGAACCTGAAACTTGAAAGAGTAACACCATGGATGTCAAATGAAGATCTGGTTAATCTGACACAGAATTGTCCCAAGTTAGTCGAGCTTTCATTGACAGGGTGCACAATGTTTAATTCAGGCGAGTAATTTCTACCTGATAACCATTCTGTAGAAGTTTCAATGACACTAAATGCAATTTTCATGCAGTGTGACTCTAATAAGAATTCTTATGTTCTGAGTTTCATAAGCTGCTGTATAATCGAGCATTAATACTCTTATATCATTTTTTATTCTATAAATGCATCCTTTTGTCTGAGGATGACTGAGTGAAGTGATTTGAATACTGGCTAAAATAATAATAAGAACTTTTCCTTTCCCTTGTTATGTTCTTTTCAGAATCCCAAGATATTATTTCAAGTGGTTGGCCAGGGTTGATATCCATTCATCTTGAGGTTTGCTGTCACCATTTTCTCTTGGGATGCCTTTTTATTATTTTTTTAAAAAGATATGTAGATCTTACGTTTGCTACCAACTTTGCAAGAGGAGGATAAAGACTGAAATACTATTATCTGATAGTAAATTTGCTATTACTTATTTTGTATTTACAAGCTGCATACACCTTAGCAGATGACCCAAACAATATTAACAGTTTTATGTAACCCAATTCCTGACTAAGGGCAGATTTTCGACCCTTTTTTTAATTTTTCCTTATTTTTGTAACCTCTGCTACATCTCTAAAATTTTCTTCTATACCTGTGATTCACCCAAATTTATTGAGGGTAGAGAATGGACAACGTAGCAATTAAAAATTAAAAAAAGAAGTATTGTCTAAACTTGAGGGGCATGTTGAAGACAACATTAAATGATATAAATTGTGACCTTATCGAATAGCTTAAGCATTAAAATCAAGCAGTTTAACATGGCGTCACATCAAGCAAAGGTCAGTCAAGTCTCGCCTCTGTCCATTTAATAGAATTGTCCACATGTTTAAGTTTTGATGGACGTGTTGTCGATGGTATTTGAATGATATAAATATGGCCTATCTAACAATTTAAGCTATTAGATCAAATGGTTCAACAATAATGATTGCTGCTGTTATTTTCCAATTAGATTCAGCACCTTTCATAAAGAGAAGTTTTCTAACCTCTTTCAAAATTCCAAAATGTGAAAGAAGAATTGTTTTATAAGTTCAAAATCAACAAAGAATTTAAAGTTTTCTGAACATGCAAGTGAGGGTCTTCAATTACAAGAGAAGTTCACAGGGAGAGGTGGTCCATAATTTGATCAAGAACAAACCATTTTTGATATGTGCCACTCCTCTTGCTAGTGAGCACTCATGTACCATTAAAGATTAAGAAGCAAAATGGATCAAAAGAAAGAGGAGGTAACAAAGTTAAAATCATGAAGTTGGTAAGAAGCAAAAGGGAAGAAATTACTGCCTGAAGTTGGCCTTGGGCCTTCTTTGAATCTGAATTATATAATCCTTTTTTCATTTAGGGAATAGAATCCTTTCTTGAAAGTCATTTTGAGTTCCCCAAAAGGATTTCTCCAGTTGTCAATTACTATAACTTGCACAAACAGCAAACAGGCATTCTCTTTGTTGGCCACTGTATACATCTACAGGGTACTTGATCCCCTGAAGTTGGCATTTGGTATGCAAGAGCATATGCACAGTATAGGAATGGACTTGTGAAATGAATGTAGATGGGAATGAAATGCAATAGACATGGGATATCTCATGTTTGGTTTGTCTAGGAATAAGAACAGCAATGGGATCAGGTTCCACAATTTTGATTTCTTATATTTGGTCTGTTATGAAGTATGGTAATGAAATACAGATGGTGAAATGGCTATGCATACCTTACTGAAATTTTATTTTAAGCATTAATTCATGTAATTGGGAAAATAATGTCACATGTCAGAATTTGAGAACACTTTGCATTCCAGATTATCTAGATGCTTACGCTGGATGGAATGCCATGAGCCTACTCGATATCTTCCTTGCCTGCTTCACTAGAGGGGGAAAAAATAGGGAGATGAAGATAAATATTTTTGAATCTTTCTTCTGTCAATGGTTGAACCTTCTTGCCCCTGCTTCTACAAGAAGAAGAAGAGAAGCCTAATCAGACACTAAACTAGAGTTACCTTACTGAAGACTCAAAAGAAAATTTTGAAGATGCGGTGTTGAAATTTGTTAAAAACGGGGGTTCCATTTTTGTGAAAGAGACCATAATTATAAACCCCACCAAAATGAGAGCAGTATCTACGATATAGGATGAAGTGAATATAAATATTATTTCATTCATTTGATTGATGAAAGTGAATATAAATATTATTTCATTCATTTGATTGATGTATTTCATCATCAGTTCTTCTCCTTTTCGGTATCTTTGTAACAGCTCATGTTATTTGTTGTTTAGGACTGTGGAGAAGTAACAACCAATGACGTTGTATCTCTTCTGGACTGTCATGCCCTTGAAGATCTTATGCTACGTCACACTGTGAGTCTTCAACACTGGCTTTTTCTCATGTGGTGTGGCTTGTTTTAACTTTTGGAGGCTAGATAATTAACTATATTCTAATTAGGGGTGGTTGCAAGCCGATTCTATTATCCTTCATTATAGTTACCTACTGGTTCTCTGCAAAAGATGATGAATTTGAACTTTCCCCTTTTTGCTTCCTTCGTTTTCTTTTTCATTTTCCTTCAAACAAAATGAATAATTGGACAGCAAATGTACGACCCGAAGAAATTACAAGACAAAATACTTCATGTTTCCTGTCCTCCTAGTATTATGTGGCATATATTAGGGATGAACTTTTTGGTTGGTATAACCTGAGATCTCAATCTAAGCAGGTAGCATTCCTTTGACAAGGTACATAATGTTTGGATTTATATATTAGGCAATATTTAGTATCGCAATAGATAATATATAAGCACAAGATTGTGATGAAGACTACCAATTGCTTGGACTTCGATTCAGAGTATGACAGAGATAATACAAAATATCCTTGTCTTTTCCTCTTCAACCCCTTAACTCCAACCCTATCAGTCTATCACACCCACAACACAGACATCAAACTGCAAGGTATATACATTATACTAGTCCTAATAATATATCGGCACCTACACTGAACTGTTTTCAATTTTGTGAAGTTCCATTCAATTATTATGATCACACTAGACATTTCATCAAACACTAATTTCGAATTCTTGGTCAACCTACGAAATTCGAAGCTTTATTTTTGTGAACTAGCAACTTACTGATTCTGGAGTGAATTGTGCTTTAAATATTTAGGGCCCTGGAATTACGAGAAATTTCATCATTTATGCTGCTCACAAGGTAATTATGGCTGCTCACATGGAATTACTGTATTTGGACATTGTTTTTTCTCAAACTGTTTGAAGTTCTCCGTTTTATTGTGTATTTTTGGTGCCTGCAGTTACCAATGCTTCGAAAAATATCACTTGATAGATGTGATGCAAGGGATGGAGACTTTGACATTCCAAATGTAAGAAATCTTCTTGGCATATTATAATTTCACCCATTACCATTATGTAGATGCAAAGTGTTTGACAAACCTGTGAAACTTCACGTGAAAGGCGTTATGATTTCATGGTGCAGTCATTATGTATTTCATTATTTCCTAAATATAATCCGGGGGTTTTTGAAGCTTATATTCTTGTATCTTGTGGTTTGGGTAGAATTGGATTAGGATAAAAAGTGATTAGTTCTATGGTTAATTAGGCTTTTTAGTATTGCTAGTCTACAGAAGAAATATTAATCCATGTTGGACAACTAGAATTGTTTTCATTAAGCAACAAAAATAACATTACTAACTTATTGCATTAACGTGTAAACTTCTTGTTTATCCAGGTATTTATAGTGGATGTTATCTTACTGATATTACGGACCTGCTCCAGTGTGATGACAGGTACTTCTTAAGTAGTGTGAAGATTGCTAGATGTAAGCTTCGACCCTGCACCTTTGACCTTCATAATCTGGAGGGCCGGAGAAACCCCGTGCATAAAGAAACCTTAATATTGGAGTGGAACAGTGAAAATCTCACAAGAATTGGGAAGGAAAGACTTTAATTTTCGCGCTTGAAATCAGATATACCATCTATGGAAACACTGTGAAATGGAATGCACAGATGTGTTACTGTACATTATTTCGACTCCTGCACTCTAAAAGCATGTTGGATATCACTTGGTCTGTAATAGATAATGTTAATTTAGGTCTTATAGTAACATGAAACTATGTCATGTTCAGTAAATTTGAAAAAAAGAGTTAAAAATTGTTTGTTTTTGAATAACATTATGATTTTTTTTACAAGGTGCTTTTACTTTGGTGGCTTTGCTCAGGGTGTTCAAAAAATCCAGAAACCCAGTTGACTTCAATGGTTTTCAGTTCTCATGTTAAACTGTCTGGTTGGTTTATCAGGTAAAATAATCATGCGCTGAGGTGTTCTCTTGTTTGCTTTTATTCAGCAAAAGAAGTTGATTAAAATCTAAGTTTGCAATTAATTTTAACAACAAAAGTTATGAGATTTACAACTTTTTAATCATACATTTTATTAAATTTATCAAAATTTAATTAAAAAAATGGATTTATAGCAAAGTCAAATAGGGACTCGATAATCTTTATTATTCTACTCAAAATGTTTGTCATTTTTTTCAAAATCCCCAATAATGCTAATGAGGCCAAACATGCAATTCGGCTTTTTTTAAAGTCAAATGTAAGTTTAATGACTCGAGTCCTACAATTGTAATTTTAAATGGATTCCGAGCTCAAATTTTTAAAATATAAATATTGAGAATCCAAATGCACTAGTATCGTGGGTGGGGACTCTTGTATAATTTCATCGTAATTTAAGCATTGGAGGTTACATTTGTTGTGACAGTATGCATGAACCTAAAATTTTGTGACTAATCTAATCTAATGACTTAATTAAAGGTTGTTTGGGCGCGATTTTTTCACCAAAAAAATTAATTTTTGACTGTTATTTCACTATTCCAGTTATTATATTTGACTTCTTTTCTCACAAGTGGGCTCCACTTTTCTCCTAACGGTAAAAAAATCAATTCTCAAAATCACTCCAAAACAGACTCTAAGTATATCATCGACTCCTATTTTGATTGCTACTCTTAGAATGCGACTTGCCCATCTAATCGCATCACTCCGTCCCATGTCTCTACGAACTAAGGCTTTCTTTCTCTAATCTCATTAGTCACGAGATTGTCAAATCTCAACTCACCCCAAAAAGGTGAAACGAATCAAACAAGTGTTATTTGTAAGTATACATTTAACAATGTTATCAAGTAATTAGAGAGAACAACCGTTTGATATCAATGCACGTGATTCATCCATATTCATCTTCTAGAACACAAATATTAACTTAAATCAGAAGATTTGACTATAATCTTTGTTGCGTTAATTTGCTTGACCTTGTAGATGGCAAATATCAAATCCCTTCAAGTATTTTCTTCTCTTGCACAGTCAATGTTCGGTCTAGAATCTAAAATAATATTGAAAATCTTTCTTCAATTTATAACCATGTTGGTCCTCGATCGAGGGTTAGATGATATCCCCGTCTGATTTACTATCATCTCTTCACGATCACTAGGCTACTTTGGTCCATCAAATGGCATAACAATAGTATCCAACTTGGCTTCCTCTTGCTCGAATCTATGCTTTACTTGTGAATCGCCACCCTCGTGTATCACTAAAATATAATATAATTAAACATAACTACTACGAATTTAGAACATTTTTTATGTCAAAACATTCGATTCAATGGTGTAAATAAAAGGATTTTCAATGTTTTATTTATTTTAAAATAACAGGAGTCTTGTCAAAATCAGTTATTCCCTTGAGTGGCAATTTACTTTATTGTAACTTTATGGAATAGAATAAATCATTGCTTCCATATAAAGCAAGATGTAGTGTAGGACACCCTCTAATACTTTACTACATTTCCAACCTTATTATCAAAGTGTTCATAAGTATTGGTATCCGTGGCTCTCAAAAATTGAATTGGTTGAGGAGTTGATCGTCAAGAAAAATTAAATTGCTCGTTTAACGTAAAGACTAAGACTGTAGGAGGGAACTACTGCAAATTGCTTATCTTGATGCAATATGCAATATAAAGAAACTGAAAGGTTAATGTATTATAGTATTCGCTTTAGTTTCATAAATGCGTAACTGACAATTTTTAAAATAATAATAATATTTATTGTTAAGTGTGATCTTTAAACTATGAGTATATAATGTAGCACTAGTATATGTGATTTTGAATGATAGATTCAATATATAAACTTCATATCTTTAAAGAATATCATATAATGTCACATTTATTGTCATCTATTTTGATACTAAACACTAATTTAGATGACATTAACTGTCCATTATAGAGATTAGAGTATCTCCAAAAGACACTATTTATAAAGAGAAATTTATGCTTAATAATAAGCATCTTTAAAGTTGGAGATTAAATTCTACTATACACTCAATCAATGCTCTATATCTTGGGTTTCATTTTTGTTTTTTTTTTTTTGTTTTTTTTTTAATTTTAAATTATGGATTTCTCCCCATTTTTTCTTTAACTTTTTTTTTATATAATGATCGATTAATTCAAATATGATTTTAATAGTTTAAAAAGTAGTGTCATAAAATTTATGAATTATTAAAGGTGACCATTGTGAAGTAAAAATAAATGGTGAATTATATATTTGTCATTCAGTTCTTTCTTATCTTTAATGGTTACAGCCCACTATTTACAAGGATTAAGGTAAATGGAAGCTGATGAAATTATACAAAGGGAAAAATTCACATTTCAAGTGTGATCTTTATCCCAATTTAAAATTTAAGTAAATAGTTTGAAAATTTAAAAATCAGGTATATATTTAATTAATTAAAAATATTTATTAAATAAAGATAATAAAGTCACAATTATACGATTAATTGTCATAGATTCATAATTATTGATTACAAATTATTACGTGTCGTCAAATTAGTTGGTCACAAATTATTTCGTGTGGTTACAAATCAAACATTTTGTAGGTCACATATTATTTCGAAGTCAAGAATCATTCAAATTACAGGTCACATTTTATCTATGAGTCGTATAAGTCATTGGTCACAAATTATTTTTTAGTCACAGACACCTAATTTTTTTTGTCACAAATCAGCAAAATAGTTGGTCACAGACACCCCCCCCCGTCACCGCCACTATAACAACCACCACCATCATTGACAACAACGCAACAATAGTTGACCACTACTGTCTTCTGCCACCACTATACCCATAACACCACCACGGCACAACACACCACCACGGCACACCACACCACCCACAGCACACCACCATCTTCTTTATCTCCATTTACACGACACCTGA